ATGGAGCACTGGGTGTTATACGAAAACAATGGATCGTGGATCACTACATCAAAAACTAATGATGTATTGTATGGTGACTAACATAACATAATAAAATTAAAAAAAAAAAAGAAATGGGTGAAATTGTGAAAAGGTGCAAATTTCCAGTTACAAAATGAATAAGTCAGGGATGTCATGTCCAGCATAGTGACTCTAACTAAGAAACTGTATTCTAAATTTAAAACTAGCTGGGAGAGGGGATCTTGACAATTGCCATCCTGAAGGAAAGTTTGTAATTGTATATGGGTGGTAATGGAACTTACTCTGCTCACTTTGCAATATATACAATATTGAATCATTCTATTGTAAATCTAAAATTAATGCAACCCGATGTCAATTATATTTTAACAACATCAACAACAGCAATAATAATAATGAAAAGAAACAGTTCACCCATAACATTGACTCAGGTCTGAGTAACAAGTATCTTGAGCTCAGGTGAGTGTCTCAGGCATTCTTAGCCTATAGAATCACTATCAATAGGCTTAGGCTTAAAGGGGACGAGGATAAAGTCTATGTCATTCGGAAGAGCAGTTAAGGAGTAAAAAGAAATGACAACAGACTCAATGTGAAAACTGTGATTTCATATTTTCTTCTATGATGAAATTATATAAAAAGTGTTAGATACCAAAGTGCAGTTTTATCCATATGAGTAATACAACTCATGGTTATTCCATTAGGATGTCCAGGGAAGTTTTACTTAGCATGGTATATGCCATTAGAAGTAATTTTTAAGAAATCAAAGTGTCCTCATAAAAGATATGGAACATTCCAAATATTCCTGATCCAAGGTTGGGAGAAACTGCGGGAACATATGAAAATGGACCAAGGAAAAAACTGTATGTTTATCAGATCAGGAAGCTTAGTAAATTGAGTATTCTGAAGTTATATAAAGAAGTTGGATTCTAAGAAATTGAGATTTCTGGAAATACATAGGAGCAAATTCTATTTCACAAAGGTCAGAAATCATGACTTTGAGCCCTACAATCAAGGTACTTCTTCACTACCAGGACAATTGTCCCTTTTATAGTTGCCCTCCTGAAGAATCTTATTAGAGCCTCCTTTATGTCTCTGTTCCTCAGGCTGTAGATGAAGGGGTTCAGCAGGGTGTGACCAACGTGTACATCACTGAGGCTACTGTACTTGCTTGAGAGCTCTGGGTAGCTGCAGAGCTAAGGTACACTCCCAGGACTGTACAATAAAATAAGGAGACAACTGAGAGGTGAGATGCACAAGTGGAAAATGCTTTATACTTGCCCTGAGCTGATGAGATTCTACTTATGGAGGAAATAATCTTAGAGTAGGAATAAAGGATCCCAGCGAGGGGACCACCAGCCAGCAGCACAGCTGAAACATATATCACTGTGTCATTAAGAAAGGTATCAGAACAGGCAAGTTGGGTCATCTGATGGAGTTCACAAAAAAAGTGGGGGATTTCCACAGCTGAACAGAAGGAAAGCTGCAACAACATTAAGCTCTGTAATAAGGAATTCAGGACACTCATGATCCAGGACACCAGAACCAGCAGTCCACAGAGCCAGGGGTTCATGATGACCGTGTAGTGAAGGGGGTGGCAGATGGCCACGAACCAGTCGTAGGCCATCACAGCCAGGAGAAAGTCGTCCCAGCCTGCAAAGAGTAAGGAAAAGCAGATCTGGCTAATACATCCTGTATAGGTTATAACTTTGCTCTGTGTCTGTATATTCACCAGCATCTTTGGGATGATGGTAGAGGTGAAACAGATGTCTACAAAGGACAGGCTGGCGAGGAAGAAGTACATGGGTATGTGGAGATTGGAGTCTGTGCTGACAGCCAGGATGATGAGCAGGTTTCCAAACACAGTGATTAGGTACATGGAGAGAAAAAACCCAAATATGGGGAGCTGCATTTCTGGTTTGTTTGCTAATCTCAGAAGAAGAAATCCCGAAATTTGGGTATCATTGCCTGGTCCCATGTGGTGGTTTGATGACTAGAAATTAGGGAAAAAAAAGATTAATTTTAATACGTGTAGGCATTAGTAACATGGCAGAAATGCTATAATTACAATGACATGTGGGAATAAAAGCAGGCATAAAACCAAGTGGATAGGGTGTTATCTTTACCGGGAGTTCAGGAAAATGTAAAACAATGTGACATTGGAAGAGAGATCTTAGGGAAATCTGTACAGGAGACACAAGTTCATCTGTGGATGTGTGTGCCCTGTAGGAGAAAGAGCTAGTGCAAAGGCCTGGAGGAAGGCACTTGTTTTGAATGGATATCCAGGACTCAAAATGGAGCCAGTATAGTTCAGAGAAGAACAAGAGGGAGAGTGATGAGAAGTGGCGTCAGGGAATGTTGAGGAGTGGAGTGGCCTCCCTGCTGCAGCTGAGACTTCAGGACACAGGGATTCCTTCATTCACATGGTGTTCCTTGCACTTCATTAATTTGTTTCCAAGGAATCCTGTCAATAACAATGGAACCATTCCTTATTTCCAGGTGTTGGTTAACACCCTGGAGTCTGTATTTTAAGGGAGTCTATATTTTAAGGGTCCCATATTGGCACATTACAGAATCCTGGGGCCATGGGACTACCAGGCTCTTCTCACCTCCAGCTACAATAGTTAGGAAAGAAATGTGCTAGTTAAGCTCTCAACATCAAATTATCATTACCCTAATGAATATAGAAAAGTACCCAAATTCCAGTTGGTAAGACAGCCATGAACACGTAATTTGGTGCTCTATTTTAATATTACCATTTGTCCTGTATTTTGAGAAGTATAACAAACTAAATGGAGACAGAAAAAAGGAAGAAGGAAGATAAAGGTCTAATAAGCCCAGGTGGTCCCTCAGAGATCATGATGATGAGAAAGTTTCCCTGGTTCTGGCTGCATTCTAACCCTAGGTATAGCCCCTTGATGCCCAGAATAATAAAGCGGCAAAAACCAATTTCTCCAAAAGAGAAAAGAATGATATATTTATGCTGTCAAGACACCATAATGTATGAACATCCACTAGAAATAAGGAGTGAATCCACAATTGACCAAAGGAAATACACAGTGGACAAAAATAGCAGAGGTTTATCAAGAAGAAATGATAAAACCCTTTTCTAAATTATATTAAATGCAAAATTTTGGAATCAGTGTATGAGTTTAATCTTGGATCTACCACACAGTAGCTGTTTGAATTTGGGAAGACAACCAATTCATTCTAAAATTATATTCTCACCAGAATAGTGGGGATAGTGGTATCCATCCTCCTAAGGTGGTCAACAGATTTATTTCATATATGTAAAAAGCTGAGCATAGTTCCTTCCTGATAATATTTGAATTATTATTCTCTTTGTTCAGTCCTGCTTGTGTGTGTGTGTACATGCATGTGGATTTGTGTTTGCAATTGCACACATGCTTGATCATAATGTAAAAGTCATGCTTAATGTGACAGTAAAAAAAAAAATTGGAATCCACTGCAGTAAAGGAAAAAAAATGATTTTAATAGAAGGTTGGTGGCTGCTAATGTGGGAAAAATGGTATGAATGAAAGTCCATCAGAAGACCAGGTTGCAGAGAGAAAGGCAGTCAGAGTGGGTGCTGACTTACGTCAGACTCCAGGGAGCCCATGCTGACTGCTCTGCCGGCCTCATCATGGGGTCCACCTCAAGCCCATGATCTAATTGTTATTCCTATCTTTATTCCCTGTTTATTTGACCATACTTGCTTTTATTTGGCCCAGTCATGGATGTGGTTGGCTTTTCTTACTTTCCTTGGTGATATTTATACCTTTGTTATCTTGGGCTTTGGGGTTGGATCTTTGTTTGACACAAAATCCAATGGGTACACACCAGTCCTGCTTCTCTGTTCCTTGTCTGCAGTGCAGAAATCTTCCCAGACCATACTCTCTAAAATCTGGCATGTTCCATGATAATCTACCCACTTTCTGTATATGATTTATCCTTGAAGACCCAATGTCATACAAACACTTAGTTCCCTGTTCTTCATTAAAACCTATGAACCAAAGGAGCAGGGCCTCACTTGGTTTGTTCACATCTTTCTGTTGACAAAGGTCTGCATTTGTATAGAAACAAGTTTTTAAAAAATGAAAATTCAGTAAATAGAAAAAATGGCAGGGGCCCCTGGGTGGCTCAGTCGTTAGGCGTCTGCCTTTGGCTCAGGTCATGATCCCAGGGTCCTAGGATCAAGCCCCACATCGGGGGGGGGGCTCCTCCCTCTCCCACTCCCCCTGCTTGTGGTCCCTCTCTCTCTCCGTCAAGTAAATAAATAAAATCTTAAAAAAAAAAAAAAGAAAAAATGGTAGGGAAAATAAAATCATGTTATATATGGTGGATTCAAATAACTGTTTTCAACAAAACTAGACAATAATTGTATACCAACATCTTAAAGAAAAGATATACAATATCAAACTTAACATCAACATGGGTCGCTAATTCAGGATGAAATGATTAAAGCTTGGAAACAAGGGTACCTGTGTGGTTCAGTCGGTCAAGCGTTTGTCTTCAACTCAGGTCATGATCTCAGGGTCCTGGGATTGAGCCCAGCCTCTGGCTCCCTGCTCAGTGGGGAGTCTGCTTTTCCCTCTCCCTCTGCCACTCTCCCTGCTTGTGCTCTCTCTGTCTGTCAAATAAATAAATAAAATCTTAAAAAAAATAAAAGCTTGGAAATAAAAGAATAGGAAAACTTCTTTTTAATACGCAGTACAGGAAGCAGTAGCTAAAGTTATAATTTTATTTTGTGTAGCCTAAATGGACTCAACCATGCTTATGAAAAAGATGCAGGGGGATCTTTGGTTGAATACAAAAGAACATATTTCACATAAAGACAGGAGGCGATTGTTATTTTAAAAAACAGATCTAATTCCAGAATATGAAATGGTAGAAATAAGAACAATTAGATGTGTAATAAGATGGTAATATGTGTAAAAAGCAATTCTTACTACTAAGGATGCAGAAGAGTTTCAGTGTTTTAAAGCAATGAGGGGAACACCATGTGACCAACTGATAGACTTTACCACACAAAATATGTAGGCTCTCCCTCCATCCCATAAATAAATCTCTACACAATACAAGGATTAAGTGGCAAACAGCAAACCTGGTGAAAAAATTATCATTCTTTTCTTGAAAGAATGCAATTTTTTAAAAAGATTTTATTTATTTATTTATTTGAGAGAGAGAATGAGAGAGAGAGAGAGAGCACATGAGAGGGGAGAGGGTCAGAGGGAGAAGCAGACTTCCTGCCGAGCAGGGAGCCCGA